ACATCAAAATAAATATGACAAAATTGCTTCCATCATCATCATCTCAGTCCAACACACAGCATAATTTTAAAAATATGTATAAATAATCTTCAATAATTATAAAGTAAACAACATACACATACATACATACATACATACATACATACATACATACATACATACATACATACATACATACATACATGCATACATACAAACATACAAACACACACACACACATATATACAAAAATAAATACAAAATACATTCCAGACTTAAGAATGATTTGATTTTTTCATTAAAATTGCTCTCCTGCAACAAAGCAGAAAATTAAGTAATAATAATAATAAAAATAATAAAATAAAAATAATAAAATAAAAATAGGAGAAAAAAGGGAGAGAGAGAGTGAGAGAAAAGAAATGAGAGAGAAAAAAAAAGAGAGAAGAAATGAAAGAGTGAGAGAGAGAGAGAGAGAGAGAGAGAGAAATAGTCTAAAAATGAATGCACTTCAGATAATATTACATATTCCATCCTTAAAGGAGTAACTATTTGCATTTTCATTTTCAAGCCTATGCTTCAATTTGAACAAAAATACCAAATACCAGATATACAAAAATAATACAAATACCAGATATACAAAAATAATGCAAATACCAGATATACAAAAATAATGCAAATACCAGATATACAAAAATAATGCAAATACCAGATATACAAAAATAATGAAAATACCAGATATACAAAAATAATACAAATACCAAAGCAGAAAGAAAGAGAGAGGAGAAGAAGGAAAAAAATTAGAGAATGAGGAGAGAGAGAGAGAGAGAGAGAGAGAGAGAGAGGGAAAGAGAGAGAGATAGAGAAAAGGTATTTGTCGGGTATAACATGTTTGTATATTCGTATGAGTGTGTACCAGCCAACCAGCCAGCCAAGCATTATTGAATATCAAAAGTTTAAATATACATGAAATTTTATCAATGAAAACCAAATGAAATAACATCCCAATTATGATGATGATGACAAAGATGAGGACGATTGTGATAATGATGATGATGATGGATCATGCTATTTAATGGAAGAATACAAAGTAGATATTTTATAATTGCAACTCCTTGGCTGGCTGACAATATTCAGAGTTTATCAACTGGAACACTGAAACAAAATAGCATGCACACACACACACACACACACACACACACACACACACACACACACGCACACATACAACACACACACACACACACGCACACATATGCAAACACACACACACAAACACATACATGCATGCAAACAAACAAACCCATACATACATTATAAACGTTTTCTATATCTTCATTTATATAAGAATAAGATTACTGAAATTTTAATGGAAAAAAATTAGACTGCATGCCTCTCTCTCAGAGTTTATTCAAATAAAACATAATAACACCAATAACAACCTCAACAACAAAAATACCATTACTACCACTAATACTAATAATAATAACAGAGATTAATTGAATATTCATGAGTACTAAAAATTCATCTAAATACATTCCTGAAAATGAAAAAATGATCAAGCAAGGTACATCTAATTAACAACATTTAACTTACTATAATAAAAAACATGGAATGGAGTGGAATGCTTAACATCTATCTAACTTAATTGAACTCAATAATCCAACCTCCAAAGTGATTTTGGTATCTTTGTTGACGGAACCATTCGGTACCTCGATATTTGCAGTGGAACAGTGTAAATTACCACCTGGCTTGTTCAACTGTTTGGAAGCCTGGGTGAATGGATGGCGCCAGTTAATTAGTGAATTAGTTAATTAGTAAGTAAGTCGCTGGGTTGAGATGTTCTGCCGGTTATAAGAGTGTGTAGGTGTGTGTGTGTGTGGGTATCTATATTTATGTTTACAAATGTGTAGGCTTGAATATATTGGTTTATGTGTGTATAACTTGTATGAATGTATGTCTTTGCGCATATTTGTATGTATGGTGTATATATGTTTGTTTGTTTGTTTGTGTATGTGTGCGTGGTGTACTTGTTAATGTGTGTATTTTGTATGTATGTGTATGTATGTATGTGTGTGTGTGTGTGTGTGTATGTGTGTGTGTGTATGTTTTAGCTGTGGTGTTTTCAAACCTGTTTAACTCTAGTTATGGCCACAAAATATTTAGGAAAAGTCGTTGTGTATATCTTAGCTGTCTGTTTTCTATCTGAAAAGTTATCTGTTAAGGAATTAATTATGATGAAAATAATTAAAATTATTAATAATTATAACTAGCGTTTCACACATACATTTTTATTGCGATTAATATTTTATAGAAACCTTGAAATGTTATAAATTTAAAAATACCTTCAATAAAATAATTTAATTCCAAAAATTTGTTAAATGTGAAATACAAGAAACTTGATCAAAATACAAAACATAGAAAAAAATTATTAACCAAAAACAATAAAAATTATTTGATTAAAAAACAAAAAAATCTATGTAAAAAAAGTGATGATTGAAATAATAAAAAATGACAAAAACAAAATGGTTAATGATAAAAGACCTTTGTCCGTTTCATTGATGAATTTCTCAAAAGATTCACTGGGAACTTCAGATTTGTGTTCATTCCAGATCTTTCCGTCGTCACTTTTCATGATCACTAATTCTCTTTCTGTGTTTAGACGGGAGGCAAAATGAGGCAACTCAATGAGGACCGGCCTACAAAGTTTACGAAAAAAACTAATAGAAACATTAAAAAATAACAAAAATTAATTAAATTACCCAATAAATTCGATCCCCACTGGTCCTAATTGAAGAAATCTGCTAGCAAAAGCATCCTCTTCATTCAACTGTGGTGGAGCTGGTATTTTCTCCTTCTTCAACAATCTACATGTAAGTCTAGTTGGCATGCAAACCTTGCTAGGGGGTATGATAATATCCACACCTGAATGTCGTCTGCCATACATGGCACCCCCTCTAGCATCTACCAGGAAACTTACCAAAAATCTATATAAAAAACATTAAACTTAAAAAGAAATCTATTTAATAATAAATTTTAAACAACTTTCACTAATCAAAATGCTATCTCTGGGCATTTTTTGGTATAATAAAATACTTGATTTGGGCAATAAATGAAATAACTGACTTTTTAAAAAATTTTAATTTTGAAAAATTTAAAACAAAAAGCAAAAGAAAGGCATACTTTGGATTAACATTGTTGCTTGATTTGCTTGATGGTGCATCAGCATGGGGTAACAATCCATTTGTCAGCTTCTGAAAAAAACCAATCTATCATTTTTCCACTTACAACTAACTCATTAATCATTAAAATATTAATTCATCAATAATTAACATTAATTAATCAATTGATTAATTAATTAATATTTATTAAAAAAAACTTGCTAACAGAGTTTGGGTTGAATTTTACTTCAGTCGCCATTTAGCAGTTTTTTTGTAAACTAATAGCATGAAAAAATAAAAACGCAAATAATTTAACAATAAAATGATTTTCAAATATGAAATTTGATAAAAACTTTTGTTAAAATTTTTGCTCTTGTACAAGCGAATCAGGTACACGACTTCGAAACGAGCACGAAAGTTCTGCAAGTTCAAAAGATGGCGTTTCAGTTGATTACAAGGTGAGACAAAGATTTAGAATGAATTTTTTCAAACATTTTATTTAATTTAATCATTAATAATATAAAATAAAATTAATGTCATATATGTATATTTTATTAAATAAAAAAAAGTCTTGTTAGCACAAGGTACATCAATTTGTTACGCTCTCAATGTTTATTTAGAAGATTATATCGCTCGCTTACTCGTTGTTGGGTTTTGTTGTTAAATTTAAATTTTGAAGTTTTTAAATAAATAATTTTTCATTAAAATGACTCGTCTGAAGAAGGGAAAGTCAAGAGTGAAAAAAAGTTTTATTTTAGAATTTGATGAGAAAAAGCGAGAGTAAGGTTTATTTTATAATTTATTTTATAATTTATAAATTTTATAATATGGTCAAGTTTTTTTTCAGTGTTCAATTTTTAATTAAAAATAAATAAAAATCTTTTATTTAATTGTAATTGACCTATTAATTCTCTAATCGATTCTAAAATAAGTCTAAAAAAAAGCCAATCAAATTTTTTAGAGATTACCTGACAGGATTCAGTAAACGAAAGAAGTGCAGACAGAGAGAGGCTGAAGAGAAAAAGAAACAAATTTTAAAAGCCGAAAAAGAGAGAATTAGGAAGGAGGTCAGTCTAGGCTTTGATCTTTTTTAGTTTCTTTTTGACTTGTAATTTCGTTTAAAAGTTGAAAATTCTAATTAATTACTAAAACTTTTAGCAATAGTATAGAAGATAGATAGATTCTTATCTAAATTTTTCCTACCAATCTACTACTCTCCTACTGATGCTAATATAATAGAAACTTATAATTTTTTTAACATGGTTAGTTAGATGAAAACAGTGCCACTATTTATTACCATTTTATTAACAACTAATATTTTAATTCTATTCATAAAGAAAAAGAATCAACTCCTCTTAAACAGTAGACAAATAACAAATGGGTTTTCTTCCATTGGGGCCAACGATGTCACGTCGCTAAACTTCAAAAACCACACGGTGATAGTAACAGAACTCAACGATATCAACAAAGATGCTGATTTACTTGCAGCCAATGATTTTGTAAACCATTTTCACTGAAAAATTCTTTTTAGAATAATTATCCTGTTTATTTTATACTAAACTTTATAAAATTTCAACCATGTTTCTGTAGTTTTTATAATTTAAGTTTATTTTTAATAATTAACAGAGTTTAAATCAATTTATTTTTTCATTTTTCAAGGACAGTCTGCCAGAACTAGGCTCCGTTGAAAAAGCTAAAAAGACCAAGTCAGTTTTCTTTTTTTAATTTCATCTTTTAATTGCATAAATAAATAAATAGACGAATAGATAATAATAAAAACAATTCTTTTTTTTAAATATTATATTATAATCTAATATAAATCATAATATTTTTCATTTAAAATGCTTTAAAATGTCTGCAAGCATACATCAATGTGTGTGTGTGTGCATACTTAACCTAACTACAAAGCATTTATTAAGATCATTATCGCATTCAAATAAATCATCAAGGCTATTTAATTCAAAACAGGAAATTCAATCCCCACATGAACAGCAGAAATTTGGTCAAGAAAAAGGTCAAAAGGTCAAACAGAAATAATAACAACAACAATACCAATAATAAAAATCATAAAAATAAAAGTAGAAGGAATAGTAGAAAATCATTCTCCAATAGATCAAAGGTCAAAGCCAATAAGCCCATAGCGTCATGATTTTAAAACATTTTCTTTTTAAATTAAATTATCAGTGAATGTTTTTTTAATAAAAAAGCGAAATTATTTTGTCCTTGTTTTTTCGTTATTCTAATTATAAATGTTATTATCATTGGGTTTTTCCAAAAATTTTGAGATATTCGGCTACGGACGGATGTTCACCACTTGCTCTGTTGTATGGCGTCCAAACTGGAGTACCCTTAAAGAACCTTTGGGCATGTATGTAGTCCTGTTGTAGAGTTATTCTCAAAAAATTAATTTAAGGTGACAAATGCTTGGTAAATTTAGGAATTACGAATGACGAATAGATTGGTCATTAACATTACAAATAGTGATTTATCAAATTTTTATCAGAAATATAAGTACACAGAGGTGCAGCTCTTCAAAAACTTTCAAGAATATACACAAAATTATGAATATGTATCAAATGTAATGAAGTTTTTTCATAATTATCAAGATTATGTTAGGTAACGAAAGTAAGATGATTAGCTATGGAATAAATGTATAGACACTAAAAATTAGAAAGGTAAAGGATATAAAACTCGACATTTTCATCATTTGTGTATCTGTGATACAATCCAGCTGGAACTGATATCATATCACCTTTGATAACTTGTATCCTAATCCATGTATCAGTTGTTGGGTCTCGTATATCAAAGTACCCAGAGCCGTCTAGAACGTGTCTGGTTTCGTCATCGGGGTGTACGTGCTCTTCAAAAAACTTTTTCATCTAAATTTTAGAAATTTTATTTTTTAATAAAAATGTGCAAAATGTTTGAACTTTAGGATTAAAAATGATAAATTGCCATAAAATTCATAATAATTATTAATCACAACTAACCATTTCATTGTAGTTTGGAAGTTTTTCTTTGTTGCATGTGACTTCATCGTTGTAATTATAGCCTCTATCTTCTACTATTTTATCTAATTGGTCTTTGGAGTCGATCTTTCGATTGAAAATGATATGTTTCAAGTTGAGTTTAAATTTTTAGAAATATTAGTTAAAAATCTAAAAAAATTTATATTAAGTCTATGATCATTGAGAAGTTTATTTAAAAAAAAATTTAGTTTCGGCAATATTTTTAATAAAAAAATATAAGGAAAAATGTGTGACATTAAACCAATAAAGTAAACCAATAGTAATAATAATAAACCTTCCAATAGTGGACCCCAAACGTTAGCAACTTCTCTAAAGTTACAAACTTAGGCGGATTGGTTTGGTGTGGTTTTTTCTGATCACCCTCATCACTGTCCATGTACCATGCTTGTACCATATTTGAATCAAAATTGAGAACCCTTGGAAAACAAATTTATTTTATTTACCTAATTATCCTGATTTAATGAAAAAAATTGCAAAAGTAAAATCAAAATGATGAGAAATTAATATTGTAGTATAAGTAAATTCAATTCTATATATAATATATTGATATTCTTTGTATACTATTTATTGGATTACCCAGTACATTACTGGTCTAAGATTTGCCTCACTAAGTCAAGTATTATATTAAAATATCAAATTAAAAATAAATTAATTATTAAAATATAATATAGATATATATAAAATAGAATAGAATCTATTCTATTAGATTAGATAGATCGGATCGAAAAAATTTAATTAATCGCTCACCCGATTAAAATTAATAGAATCTGTTTTAAAAATTAAAATATAAAATACAAAATATATATAAATAGATAGTTTAAAAAATGATTAACTCGTCGGGAGTTTCTTCCTAACTACGCTAACCGGCGATCGATCAAAGTTCATTTTTAAAAGGTAAACTTTTTTGACGCCTAGATATGAAAGTTCATTTTTTTTGTCTATGGTTTATAAATTTTAACATTTAACATCTAAGGTATGTTTATAAAAAGAACTGCTGACAACATTCTGTTTGTATATATTTTTATGTATGTATTTGTATGTTTGTGTGTGTGTTGTGTTGTACCGTTGTGTGTATGTTTGTGTATGTTATAAATATAACATACTTAAACGCGTATGTATTATTAACAAATGCTAATGTAACCTTTGTTTGAGAGTATTTGAGCTAGAAAATGCAACCAAGAAAAAGATAGAGAATCGCATTTTTAAGAAAACAAACAAGTGAAAGAAGGAGAAGCACTTATTTGAACGACATTTAGTGAGAATCCCCATCGCCACGCCATGGCAGTAGTTGAAATGTGGTGATATTCAACAAATGACACAAAGAACTTCATCAGTGTTTTTGTGGGATCATGATCATTATCAATATCGCAGGGTAATAAAACTATATTTTTTTAAAATTTTCTTTGAAGTATTTCGATCAGTTAGGTCTAAGTATATCATGAATCACAAATTATCCAATCATGCGTGTGTGTGTGGTACATGTGTGTGTGTGTGTGTGTACTGTACATACATACAGTATAACGTTTATTTGCCTTTGCCATAAGTTTTGAGATACTGAACAGTGGAAGGGTGCAGACCATCAGCTCTGTTGTAAGCAGTCCAATCAGGACTGGCTTGGAAGAATCTTCTCAAATGTGCGTAATCCTGAATGGAAGGTGAAAATAATAAAACCTATAATTATGATAATTATTATTACATAATTATAGTAATATTAATAATTATTCCTATTATTACAAAACTCATAAAAAGCCATACAGGTTATGTAAACGTGCATGAATCCGCGAGCACATCACATAGTTCTTATTATCTAAATATGATTAAAATGAGTAAATGATATCATTTCGTTAGTAAATGTTTGTAATATTTTATCGTCAAAGTCTATGCGTCAGACATCCGCTTAAACTCATCGTAAAGTTCAATATATTTTACCTAGCACAAGAATATATGCAAAATATAAACGAAATATAATCAGATGGCATTTAAAAATCGTACTACACACACACACAAACACACACGAATACAATTCAAATTCATTACCCGCGCAAATACAGCTTTACTAATCATTCACTAATTAAGAAATGGTTTTAAATTGTCAATTATCGACTTATTGGCATATTGAGTAAGAACTAACATTTTCATCAGTTGTGAACCTGTGATACAATCCTGGCGGGACAGATATCATATCCCCCGTTTCAACGTACACTCTTATCCATGTATCATTAGTGGGATCTCTTACATCGAAGTATCCGGACCCGTTTATAACGAACCTCGTCTCGTCATCCGTGTGGACGTGTTCCTCGAAAAATTTCTTCATCTGGTTGTTGTTGGTGTTGGTTGTAATTGAAAGAAACGTCCAATCTTAATTAAATTGAAGTGATTTCAACAAAATTTTAAACCCAATTTAGCTAAAAATGTCTATTTAAAATAAAATTTTACAGTGAAATTTCATAATTCTAACCATGACGTCATAATTTGGAAGTTTTTCTCTGTTACACGTAACTTCGTCGTTGTAATTGTAGCCTCTTTCCACGGCTAACTTATCCAGCTGGTCTTGTGATTCTATCTTTATTATTTTATTTTAATGTGAAAAGTGAAATTTTTGTTGAAAATTTTTAAAAACCAGAACAACCACATAAACAACTATACAAACACTAACATGGAGGATGATGACGACAGTTTTAATAACACCAACTACAACTGTTATCACAAATATTAACAACAACAACAATAACAACAATATCAATAACAACAGCAGACCTTCCAATAATGGACCCCAAACGTTAGCAACTTTTCTAACGTTACGAATTCAGGCCGATCAGGTTGGTGTGGCTTTTTCTGATCACCCTCCTTATTATCATGATACCAAGCTTGCACCATTTTATCTTTTTAAAAAAACCTTTAAAATTCTGACGAAACAACGTTTTTGAAATTGTAAATAATTTTGAAATAGTAGAATACGTATTTTTTATTCTAAATATTTGATAAATTGAGTTTAATAATAGCAGCTTATAACCTCAAAAACAATTTGTGAAGTGATTCTAGCTTTGCAAGTTATATAACATCGTTTCGAGAACTGTTTTTGATTAAATTTGTTAAGAGTACTAACACTTAGAATGGGTTAAAAGTCAAAAAACTGCTCTAAAAATAAGCTTTTAACATCAAAAAAATTTGTGAAGTGTTATATTATTTTAGCGAGCCATGTAACACTGCTACTCAAGCCGTTTTGATTAAAATTTCACAGAGTTTAAGCCTTAATAACGCATTTATAGTTCAAAAACCGTTCTAAATCAAATCTTTAAATACTATTTTTACCATTGCTCTTTTAATAAGAACAAACTTTGCATGCGTTTGCATAGCATATGATGGTTGTTCAATGTTCAATGCAAATGCAACACATAACTTAAAAGCGTTAATTTCAACATTATATTGTCATTTAAGTGTTTTAAATTAAATTTTGTAATAAATGAAAGTTTTTTCAGATTTAATAGAATTTATTTTTCCTAGATATAACTAATTTCGCGATGGTTATCATTTAAGGAAATTCTGTTCTATGCGTTTCTCTCTGGCATAATAGAAATTAACTTTTAACCGTTTATGTTTAAAAGTTAATTTCTGTTTAAATGGCCGCCTTCCCGTTCTAATTAAAAAACCGAAAGTTAGGGCAATATAAAAACAGATAATTCAATATTTTTTTTATAAATAATAACCGCGATGAACATGTTGACATGCATTTGTAAGAATTTTGCAAACTTTCGTTTGAGTCAATTGTATAGCGGTAAGTTGTCTGCCTATTTTTTGGGGTGATACTGTCCCCAAAGATTATTTTTTTTTAGTTTTAGTTAGCTAATTTTAAACTAAAAATTTACTAATTTCTTAATTTTTTCAGAAGTAGCTGATTAAAATTATTTAATTGAAATTAATAAATCAATAAGTTAATAATAAATATTTTAAAATTTTTATTGAAAAATTTAAAAAAAAATTGAATTTACTAATGTAAACTTAAATAAAATTAACAGTTCAGCAGAGGTTTTTGCATGTAACCCCTCCAACTGAAATCTTGAACAGAAGCCACAGAACTAAAAAAGATATCTACAAAGTAGCTCAGGAAGAGAAACTTCATCTCATATCAGATCCTCTTATTGATCGGGGATTTACTGAGTTTGCAAATTTTTTTTCAAATTTTTTGGAATTTTGTTACTTTTTCAATTTTTTAGTTTTTTTAGTTTAATTTTTTAATTTCATTTCTTGAAATTTAATTTTCAAAATTATTTGTCTATGCATGTTCTTAATTTTTAGACGTTTAATTTATTAATTTATCCAACTCTAATAACAAAAACCTAGATCAGGCATAACTATCCCGACGGAAAATACACCTTCGACAACAATTGATGGGGTGAGATTTGACAAGTTGCCTATAGCCCACATTAAATCCTCCCCCAACAACACTATTATATCTATCACTAATCATACTGGTTAGGCATTGTTGTCTTACAAGTACTATAAATTTCATTTTTAAATTCAGAACTTTCTCTTTGTTTTACTATTTAAAGTTTAAATTTCAAAATTTTCAATCTATGCATGGCTAGCTAATTACATAGATGCTTACGCATTAAATGTACATCACACGCACACGCGCACGCACACGCGCACACATTAATATTTATACTGTTATTTTTACATCTAATTACTTTTTCACTTACCACAGGTTTAGAACTGCTTGGCAGATCATCCTGTGTTAGTTTCATTATAATAATAATAATGATGATGATGATGATGATAATGATGATGATGATGATGATGATGATGATGAAGATGAAGAATACTACTACTACCACTACTACTACTACTACTGCTGCTGTTACTAATATTACTGCCGCTTATACTATCATTACTACTATTTTTAATAGGGGCAAGAAGGGTTTAGAAATGTCAAGAAGAGTACCTCAGTGGCAGCCCAAGCTACTGGGTTGTCAGTTGGATTGGTATGTGTGTGTGCGTGTGTCTGTGTTAGTGTATGTGTGTGTGTGTGTTTCTTGTTCGTTAGGCGTCTGCTTTCATGTGTTTGTGTTTACAAAATGCATACATGGGAAAAGAACTGATAGCAAAGAATGAGAAACACAAAGAGAAAAAACTTAAAATCCTTTTTTGAGGATTGTTTATTTTTCCATTTGTGTGTACGTACGCGTGTGTATGTATGTGTGTCGGTGTACTACGTTCAACATTATTCATGTACTTATTTATTTATATATATATAATAATTACTAATAATTATAAATTTCTGTGATGTATATTCTTTCTTGAATTAATAAAAAAATGAAATATATTTTTTGTGTAGAAAGTCATGAAGAAAGGCGTCAAAAATTTGAGAGTCTGTGTGAAAGGAATTGGTGCTGGTAGACTTGTAAGTATGTGTGTGTGTGTGTGTGTGTGTGTGTGTGTGTATGTGCGTGTGTGTGTGTGTGTGGCCAGACTAGACGAATCTGAAAAACTGCTCTTGCCAGCTCTGTGATGATACTATCCTACTTGGATTGGAACCTCTCATTAACAACTGAATAAAATTTCATTTCCTAACAAACAATGATGATAACAACAATGATAATAATAATTTTAACTATAATAATGTAATAATAATAATAATTTCAATTATAATTAATTATAATAATAATAATTGCAGCCGTCGTTAAAAGGCATGCAGATGGCGGGCTTGAACATTGTATCCTTGACTGATACAACACCATTGATTCATAGTGGGCCTAGGCCGAGAAAAGCCAGAAGATTGTAATAATAATTATAGTTAATTATGATAATAATAATAATAATTCTGTTAATTCTAACTAATAATATTATTGTGTTTTATGAAGTGTAGTAAATGAATAGAAAGGAGATGATGAGGTTAACCAATTAAAGAGTTATAGTGTTACACGATTAAAATGTTGTTGTTGTCCAATTGTTTCTTATTTACTTTTACTTTTATTTAAAATATCATTAAGAAAATTTAAAAATTTGAGATGTGAGCCTTTTTTCGAGCTCGCTAAAGATTTCGAGATATTTATTTCATTGGTCTTGGTTAGTCTGGCCCTTTGTGTGTGTAGTTGTATATTCTTTTGGCTCACAATTAAAAAAAGAATCATCTTCAAGCTTGCCGTTACGGTTTTCAAATGTTTAAATGGTTTAAGCCCGAGCTACTTGTCTGGAAGGTGTTTATACAAAACGAAAGCTATTCATCACTCGCAACTAAGTTCAGATGATCAGTTATTATTATCGCTGCCAAGAACAAATTTGATGGTGGCCGATAGGAATTTTGGCGTTGCTGGTCCACAAATTTGGAACTCTCTATCACACAGCCTGCCCACTTCAACCTGGTTTAACACTATTCAGAAGTTTCGCAAAGATTTGATGACGTATCTTTTTTCCGATGATTCCACTGGACAAAAGCAGCGCCTTTGAGATGCATTAAAGAGCGCTATATAAATTCTCTTATAATAATAACAATATTATGGCTGTGAGAATAAAAATATGTGTGTGTGTGTGTGTACGTGAGAAATGTTATGAATGTCAGCGCAGCAGGCTTCTGCTTATGATGACTCTTAAAAATTGAAATTATTTCATATTTACACTTGAAGTTTTTATTTCTGTTTCTTTTTCTCTCTCTCTTTCTTTCTCTCCTTGTCCCTTTCATTCTTTCACATGCTACTTCACTCATTTCACTCGTCTTTTGTAATTTTCCTAGTTTGACATTCTTCGTACATCAGGTGTTTCCTTTTTGTTTAAATTTGATTTTTAATCTCTCTTTCTTTCTTACTTTTGTCTCTCCCCTCTTTCTCTCTCTTTCTTTCTTTCGTTTTTCTCTCTTTTTTTCCCTCGGTTTCTCTCTCTCTCTCTCTCTCTAGATTTTTTAAAAGTTTAGTACTCTCTTAGTTGTCTCTATTTCTCCGTCTGCCTGCGCTGTCTCTCTTTTTTTCCCTCTCTTCTCTCTCTCTCTCTCTCTCTCTCTCTCTCTCTCACAGTACTGTCCTGTGTGCTGAAGTTACGAGAGCAATTAAAAAGCTAAGCAGCGTTCTTAAGTATTCGTATCGGTACTAGTAATAGTCTTCGTCATAAATATAATAACAATCATCGTCATTTTCACAAACAACAACAATAATAGTTTGTATGTGCGCGCGTACGATGTGTGTACGTGTGTATCTATATGTGTTTTTGTGTGTGTGTGTGTCTATATGTGTTTTTATGTTTGTGCTTGTGTGTGTATCTATACGTGTTTTTATTTTTGTGCGTGTGTGTGTATCTATACGTGTTTTTATGTTTGTGCATGTGTGTGTACCTATATGTGTTTTTATGTTTGTCTGTGTGTATCTATATGTGTTTTTATGTTTGTCTGTGCGTATCTAAATGTGTTTTTATGCTTGTTTGTGTGCGTGTGTGCGTGCGTGTGTGTGTGTGCGTGTGTACGAAATAATTATTTATTGTCGTTAGTTAGCCGGCACGTCGCAACATCCACAATTGAAATATTTTAAATATTTTGTGTTTTATTAATAAGAGCAATAATAATAATAAATAATAATAATAAATAATTATAACGATAATAATAAACATTATTATTATTATTCTTAATAACTAATTACTACACAATTGTAGTAGTAAATATTGTTAAAAAGTAGATTAGTGTAGGTAACTTAAATAATAAACCATTAAATGAATGAAAAAGAAAGAGTGAATGAACGAATGAATTAATGAATGAATGAACGAATGAATGAATGACTGAATGAACGAATAAAAGTGTAATGAGATGGAAATTTGAAATAAAAATTTTGTTTATTCAATGATTATTGAATGAAAGAATTAAAAACTGAATGAATGAATGAACAAATGAATGAACAAATGAATGAACGAATGATCGATTTGTTAAAAGAATGAATGAATGTCATTCATTGTGGCTGATAAATACAGGTGAGTTTAACATTTTTAGGTATCTTGAACAACAACAACTACTACTACTACTACTACTACTACTACTACTACTACTACTACTACTACTACTACTACAACTACTACTACTATTTTAACCGTCACTACTACTGCTACTACACTACTAGTAAAAACAACTACACTCATTTTTTCAACCAGTTAAGTTTACTATTATTGCAATAAAAATTACTTATAATAATATTAACAAACTTTTATAATTATTAATCATAATATTAATTAGATTGTTATTATCATTATTGTTATTATTTTTATTGTTATTAATATTGTGCCGTTTGAACTTAAGTACAAGTAAACGCCGGGTTTCCAAGAGCGTATGAACACTTCACTAACCAAAAAACACACACACACACACACACGCACACGCACACACACACTCATGTAAGCAGAAAGAACACATTTGAGAAAATGATGAAGATTTAACAATGAATTCGTCAAGATTTATACATTCATATACATACACTTCACACATACACACACACACACACATACACACAAACATACATACACACACGCACGCACACACACAAATACATACATTTATACATGTAGTATTTATGGGCATCAGGTATTTGTACGTAAATACTTAGATACCTACTTGCTTTATACAGGTGTACTGGTACACACTCACACGCACACACACACGTACATGCACACACACACACACATACGTACACACACACACACACGTACAAACATACAACACACATGTGTATTTGAACGGTATGTTTCTTTGTCGTTAGCAGGGAATTGTTGATCATAATCTCTATTTGAACGCCTGAATGGAGATGATCTTTTTACTCTTTCATTCTTTCTTTCTTTCTTTCATTCCTTTTCTTACTTTAACTTCATTCATTCTTTTACTCTGTTATTTCTTCATTCAATCATTCACTTTATTGGTCGGTTTCGGCATTTCATTTGTTTATTTAAAATATAATGTGAATCGATCCATTAATTCATAATTCATTTCTTTTTTTTTCATTCATTTATTCATATATCCAATAACTCACTGATTCGGTCATTCGTTCATTCATTCATACATTCTTTCATTCAATCTATCAATATTATCTAAACTTGATGACATTAATGAAGAGATTTTTGTTCAAATTATCAATAACATCCTTTCTCTCTCTCTCTCTCTCTCTCTCTCTCGCTCTCTCTCTCTTTCTTTCTCACATTTTTCACTTGT